TGTGTGTGTGTGTGTGTGTGTGTGTGTGTGTGTGTGTGTGTGTAAATGAAGAAAAAAGAAAGAGATGAAGGCAGATTAAGCTGGAAAGTGCAGAGGGAAAAATGAGGCAATCCCAGCTATCAGCTCAGCATTTCTCTTTCTTTTGTCATGATTCCTGGGAGAAGCTTCTCCAGAATAATTTCCTGCCCCAGTTATTTTCAAATCCTAGAAAGTTATATTTTATGCATGGGCTGCAGGCATCTTTGTCATGAGGAATGTGCATACCTCCACTTTTCAAGTATTTACAACAGCAGTGCCTCCCTATGGAAGTTTACTTGTTGGTATCAGTTTTTAGAGAGGAATGGGGGCTGGGAGACACATTTAATTTTAAAGTTTGTTAAGTTACTACAATTCTTAGTGCATGCTGATTATTTATTCCTGGAGAGTTTATGAAACAGAGAATAAAATGGGATCTCTTTATTTTACCGCTCTTTGTAGTACACGGACAAGAACGTAAAAATCAACGTATCTGCCAAGGAAGAATAAAAGTGCAGCTGGCATAATGGGTATTCCATTTGCACTCAACTGAGAAGGAGTCTGTGTGTTTATCTATGAACACTTTATTTTCTAAAATATTGTATTGAACAGCACCAAATTGTCTTATAGCTACAAGCTGTAATTCTTCTTATCATTTTTAGCATCTCTTTACAATGTCAAAGGATGAGCTGATAAATTTCAAGGTCTAATATATGACATGGAAACTGGAGAGAATGACGTGTTTAGTTAAAGGTTCTATTACACGGTGATTGTTGAAATAGACATGATAATTCCTGCAGTGTTTATGAATGGCACTGTGGTCCCAGAGAGAGGAGGCAATACGGACTTATGAAGGAATTGTGGAGAACAAACTTGGCTGACATTATTTTCCAAATTTCAGATGTCTCTAGAATTCTAATCTTTATGGCTGGACCTTTCCATTGCTCATTATTCAGACAGGTTCAGTTACAGAAAGTGATCTTGTCAAAATAGTTTGAAAAACTGCACTAGAAACTCCTTTAATATTTCTTGAGCAGAACAGACAATTTTGGGTACATTTTTAAGAGACATCGAAATTTGTCACTCAAAAAGAATTGTGCCAATTTTGCAACTAAATTCTTCTCTGAAATGCACATGAAGACAGCAACTGACAATGCAAGTTAAGTTTATAGTCTGTCAGAGCTAATGGAGCTAAAAGTTTCAATACCTCTCTAATAGCATGTAACTCAGTCCAGAGGTCAAACACAGGCAATGAAATAATCTCCTTCAAAAACGGAATACCCAAATTAACAAGCGAGATGTGGCTATCAGAACTGTGCTTAATAGGTGGGTACAATTCAAAAGACAAACTTGCAATGATAAAGATGCAAAAATTCTCTGAGTCAGTTATATTTCCATTGATTATATTTGCCTTAAATACACTGTTAAAATGAAAATGTCTTGTGGGCGGAAACCATACTTATTCTCTTATTGTGTTTTAATGAAGTCCATTATTCTGTAGTCTTTGCCTTGTCAGCATTAATAAATACTGACAGGCTGTGTGTAAGTTTATGTTGTATTCTTGGAATGGTTGCTTTTTTTTTTTTTACTAGTTCACCATCAATTAGACGAGAAATACAGGTGATATATGCTGATAAATTTTGAAAGCTTTGGCTTTATTATCTATGTTGCAACATATGTAGAATCTATTTTGGAGTAGGAGATGTGACCTTCAAGGTGGTTAATTGTTGATTGATCTAGGACTCCAGCATGCTTTCCTTCTGTTTCCTTCTTAGAGTGCTTGCACTCAGTTGTTAGGGGACACTCCTGCAAATTTAACTGTTGCCAATTTCTTACTTGCAATATTGAGAGTATTTTTCATTTTTAATATGGGCCAATCCCATATTCCCTTGAATCTACTTCATGGAATGTGTGCTGTGTACTTTATAGATGAAAGGAAAAGTGAGCTATCAATATAATACTTAGTTCTCCAAAGTGACTAGCAGGTTGAGGTCTATTGTGTTAAGAACAAAAAAGTATATTTTTAAGAAGATGATGGCATGAAAGCCTTATTTTTCTCTTAAAATCATAACTACTTACATTGCACAGAGTGGTAGAGTAGTTAACCACCTGCTTTCTTCTGTGAAACATATTGGCTTATTTTTTCACTTTATTTTTCTAAAATTTCCATTATCTTCTATAAGATCTTAGAAATTCATAAACCCAATATATGTATTCATATTTTAGGGCTATCTAGATTTTAAAACAAAATTTATAATTCAAAAATTATAATTTAAAATTTAGATAAAGATTATTAGAATATATTCACAGAACAGGACTAAAAATTGATAATAGAACAGTCATAATGATTTCTTAAATCCAGGAGCTAGGAGGTGGATGGGCTCTCCAGGTGAGTTATTATTATGGAGAAGCATCCAGAAAGGTTGAAGAAGTTTTAAAGACTCTGGCTGCCCTATCTGGTTTGGCTCAGTGGATAGAGCATCGGCCTGTGGACTCAGGGTCCCAGGTTCAATTCCCAGTCAGGGCACATGCCTGGGTTGCAGGCGATCCCCAGTCGGGGGTGTGTAGGAAGCAGCCAATCAATGATTCTCTCTCATCAGTGATGTTTCTATCTCTCTCTCCCTCTCCCATCTTCTCTGAAATAAATAAAAATATATATTTAAAAAGAAAGAAAAAGGTGAAAAGATTCTGGCTTTCTTGCTTCCACAGTTTCTTTCTGGAAACTATTTTAAGTAATAAAAAGAAGTTCTAAGTCCTTACTATAGTTGAACTCCAATTCTAATGTTTGGGAGAGACAGAGAACAATGTCATATATATATATATATACTAAGGTCTAAGGTTTCCTAAAAATTCATAGACTATGGAACCATATATTTCAATGGTTGAGATATATAATTATTTTAAAAAGTGAAATAAACTTCATGTACTATACAAAAGTTACAAATTTTCTAATGTGGCTATTTAAAAATACTTCAGCCTGATCAGCGTGGCTCAGTGGTTGAGCATTGACCAATGAACCAGGAGGTCACGGTTGGATTTCCAGTCAGGGCACATGCCTGCGTTGTGGGCTCAATCCCCATTGAGGGGCATTCAGGAGGCCATCAGTCAATGATTCTCTCACATCATTGATAATTCTATCTCTCTCTCCCTCTTCCTTCCTCTCTGAAATAAATAAAAATATATTTAAGAAAAGATAAAAATATTTCAGAATATCCATATTAGAATTGCAACTTATGTGTGGGTAATTAGTATATATGCACACGTTTTATTTTCTCAATACTAATAGTTTTCTCATTGGCCTAATTTGAAATATTAGGGTTTGACACAGGAATTGTCCAGGCACAGACTACCTCAGGATGCTAATTATAAGGTACTTTTCTAGTTTGAAAAGATCTAGACATGTTTTTATAAACAAGGGGAATTTGGCCTTTTAGTTGCAAAAATTGTTGAACATACATTCGTTTTTAAAAGTTCTTTTTAAAACTTAGAAGTGGATAGACCAGAGTTCAAAAACATTGAGAAACTTTTAGCTTTAAATGGCAGTTTTTACTTTTAGTTTGAGATGGTTAGAGGTCAGAAAAGATTGCCACCTGGTTCAAAACTGGCCTGTTTTTCCCTCGGAATTCTGAGTTCATCGTTTTCTTAATGTTTAAACCTTCCCCTGTTGGTAATTTGGCACACTGAGTTTCCATTTAGTGAATCTGACCAATAATCATGCATATCTAAGAAGCATTTCAGGGCTCTTTAAAAATACAGTATTGGTAAAATAATACAAATAGAGCAAAATGGGGAAAGAAACAGAGTCTGGTTCATTTTAACCAAGAACTCTGTTACGTAGTTGCACTTAATTACACTGCACAGAATGAGTTAATGCCCCATTGCAGCTGAAATAATTCCATGGGGTTGCTGATAAATTTTAGGTAAAAATTTTATTCAAAATTATTCACATCTAGTGAATGGCTTATATATTAAAATCATTGATTCACAATTATAAAAACTGTCAATCCTCACTTTATAGAAATAACTTATTTTTATAATTTAGGATTAAAATCTTCCCTCCTTAGATTTGGAGCTAGGAGTTTGAAATCATATAACTTTGATGGGAAAACTTTTATTATTAAAAATCTCTCATAAATCCAATTTTGTGTTCATTAAATTCATTTTTATCAAAATGTAAATACTATAATACCATTGGATTTTAAAGTCTCATTCTAAGTTAAAATGTAAAAATCTTACTGAACTGTGTTCAATTATATAAAAACATTAAACATAATTACATACAGACAAGTAAGCAGCTATTAAAAATCTAACAAAACAAGGGTACTGGCTTGAATTTTTCAGTGTTTGTCAATAATTAAAAACACATAGATACACAGCTAAAACTCTTATTTAAACACAACAATGCTGTTTTCAGTATTTTCATTCATAGACATATAAAGTTAAGAAAAGTAGATATTTATAGAATGTGATCTCTTAAGCCATACGTTTTGAATTTCCAAAGAGCAAAATTTAATATTCTAAACGAGTAAAGCTATTATCTAAATAATAAAATTTTTTTATTTTAATCTTCTAATTTGAATTTTTTGTTATTACATAAGTATTTGTATGTACAATTTTCTATTACTATTTAACAAGTTTTCCATTGAATTACCTTATTATTTTTTCTATCTGTAACTACAGTATAAGAAAATATTTTAAAGCTTCAAGCTACTAACTTATCTTCAACATTTCCCTTTTCTCTTTGTATAAAGTTCACTGTGAAAATTTTACTTTGCAAGATTATTATGAAATTAAAAATAAAGAAATCCAAAGTAGTTTTCACATGTGCTATTATGTGACATTATATAACTTACAAACACATTGGCAGTGATACTTCCACTTATGTGATTTACTATGAAAGAGCAGATAAATCAATATGAAATAGAATGTCTATAATACATAAATATATATTTGGTATCCATTAAAAGAATCTTAACTTGCCTCAATGACTTTGCATAGCAAATCATAATAATCCCTTCCTCTATGCATTTTAATATAATGGTCATCATTTGTACACAACACACACACACACACACACACACACACACACCCTTATGGCGAAGACACTTTCGAATTGACTGTTTGCACTTGCATGACCCCCGAGACTTAATCTCATTGCTGATGTATATCCTCATGCCTAAGAATTTTATAGATAACCCAGTAGAAAATATTAAAAATCAAAAAGGCTAATGGGAAGCAGGCTCGGGAGATGGTGTCAATCTTCTTGGCCCGGTCGATGAAGATCTTCCTCATTTCATCAGGGCTTTCTGGCATTACCTGGACAGGACGGTTTGGGCCCTTGGGGGTCACACTCTCTTTTGCTTGCAGGCACGGCCCCATGCCATAGGCAGTGAAGCTGAACCGACTTTCCCTTACCTCATCATCCTGCCATCAGAAAAACACAGGAGAACACTTTAGTCATGAAACAGAGCATAATTAACAGCAACTCGGAATCACAACTTAAGCTTTAGCATGATAAATGCTAACATTATTGTAATGAAAAGACAAGCCTACAAGAATGAGTTGTTTTATTCCCCACTCAAGTTTTATTGATTGAATGTGCATCACAGAGATGTGTCCATTAAGAAATATAAAACTCTCAAATTATATGTTTGAATGGAAAAGTAACAATTCTGGTATTGTGTATATATTGCTAGAATATCTAAATAAATTGAGCAAGAAAAAATCTATTGGATATTATGTCACAGACTAAATATTTTTTACATTATGTGTCTAAATGGGTAAATATGATGTCAGAAACGTACCAGGATCATTGACTGAATTTTTATTTTTCATGGAGGCAAATATTTTAATGTTTATTTCCTACACTTTTATGTTAGTTTGTTTCAAAATACAGTTTAGCTCAATAACTCTGGTTAATTTTTGTTATCCTCAATGCTACTTGTACGTTTTATACTAACCGATTTGGGAGACTATAAGATAGTCCCATATTCTGGCTTACATACAATTGCTTTTCAAGTGCATTGATTTAGTTGAAATTATGAATGAAATTTGGCAAAAGTTTATTTCATGTTAAGAAAAATTATGAATTATTATGTTCTAAAAATTATTGTTACTTTTCTCTTATATGTTATAAATTGAAGAGAATTCCCTATGCATATACATGAAAGAAAAATATAAATTTAAGGAAAAAATTATTAATAAAACTATAATAAATCAATAGTGTTTATGATAGGAAAACATGGCACTTACTGATTTATAATAAAGTTCATTAATGAGTAATTTAATTTGAAAAATTTATTTAGATTGTAACAGTAGATGGCTGCCAATTAATTGAATTTCTTGCACTAAAATTGAAAGTTTAAAAGATGACATTTTACAAATTTATTATAGCTTGCCTCTTATAGAAGTAATCTTTATGGTAATACAAGAGATAAAAGTAACCAAGTATTCAAACTCTTGAAAAATATTTTGAGTTTTGAAAGTAGAAGGTCAATGAATAGTATATTACAAAATATAAAAGTAACAAATAAAAATTAAAATGGATTCTAAAAATGAGAAGATGATCAAAGTTGATGTAATAATTATAAAATAGGTTTCTGGTGAATTATGAAGGCAATTCCATCTGAAAGCAAAAACATATAATTATTGGAAAATATCTCAACTGAAGGTGTATCAGTAATTGAATTTTGAGGAAACCAGTATGACATAAAAGCTGATGATCCAAATCCTATGTAATTATTGCTGTAATCCTGCAAAAAATGGAACTTGATTTTTAGTAGTCTTCATAAGAATGTTCATTGGTGCTGGCAATTTTTTTTTTTGTTTCCATGGAGATTTTAAGGCTATATTATTGTTTGCTTTGAATTTTTTATTACAAAAATGCTAAGATTTTAGGATTTTAGCATCTGTGCTTAGTAAAGTAGTATCTATTGACTACCCTTTTTTCTAGTTTTATTGAGAAACTAGAGGCCTGGTGCATGAAAATTCATACACTGGAGGGGGGATCTCTCAGCCAGGCCTGCCCCCTCTCACAGTCTGTGAGTCCTTAGGGGCAGGAGGCAACCTGGCGATCAGGGGAAGGCGATGCCCCATCACACCTCTCCTGCTGCCACTGCCGGCAATGCAAGCCTCAGCCAGCCCTGGTTACCTGAGCCTCGGGTGGCTCTGGGTGTCTGGGTGGCCAACATCTGAGGCTTACCTGTGCCTCGGACTGGTCCTAGGTAGCTGAGCAGCCAAAATCCGAGGCTTGCTTATGCCTTGGACCAGCCATGGGTGGCTGGGCAGCTATCATCCAAGGCTTGCCTGTGCCTCGGACTGGTCCTAGGTGGCTGAGCAGCCAAAATCCAAGGCTTGCCTATGCCTTGGCCCAGCCCTGGGTGGCTGGGCAGCCAATATCCAAGGCTTGCCTGCACCTTGGGGCGGCCCTCAGCAGCTGGGGGGCTGAGGGCGGTTACGGCTGCACCGTGAGCCTGCCACCCCCCCGCCCCCCCGCCCCCGCCTGGGCTGAAAGGACTGTGGGACTCCAGCGGGGCTGAGAGGACTGGGCGCTGCCATCTTGTGGCTATGGGCACCACCATCTTTGTGACAACATGATGGTCAATTTGCATTTTCCCTCTTCATTAGATAGGATAATTGATGTATATCACTGTATAAGTTTAAGGTGTACAACCTGATGGTTTGACTTACATATATTGTGAAATGACTACAATAGGTTTACTTAACATCCGTTATCTCTTATAGATAAAATAAGAAAAAATATTCTGCTTGTGAGGAAAACTCTTAGGATCTACTCTCTTAACCACTTTCTTATATATCATACACCAGGGTTAGCTATGGTCATCATGCTGTACGTTACATGCCTAATGTTTTTTTATCTTATAACTGGAAGTTTGTACATTTTAACCACCTGCTTCAATTACTACCTTTTTAACCATCTGTTCTAACCATATTTTCAAACCTTTGGAGACCCCCATACCTCACAACAGAAATAGTCATTTAAGATTGACCATATTTAGTGAACAACTGTAGTTTTCTCAATCATATCTTTTCACATAACTGACAACGAGTAAAGGGTTAATGCCAGCTGGGGGCTGTCTCAGGACTGCTGAGAGGGACTTCTGGTTCTTCCAGCATCACTTCCTTGAGAACAATAGAGTTCAGCTAAATGGGGAATGTGGTTTGCTTCATCCGCAGTGAAGGAGGCACCTGCTCTCGGGAGGCTGTGCAGGGGCCTACATGACCAGACGGTATATAGGCTTGGTGGGAAATAAAGGCTGTGGCTTCTCTGTGTCAAGGTGACCACAGCCACATGCCTTGACTGTTGTCTGTGGCAGTTGTATCTGTATGTCGTGTGGGTGAGGGGCAAAAGAGCTGTGCTCTTGAGTACCTGCCAAGCCTCCCACTTTGAGGAAGATGCTGTGTCTGACGGGAGGCTTGCCCCACATGCCCCTGTAGGACTGAATAAAGGGCCTTCTTGGCAATTTGACCCCCAAATTTCAGCAGTGGGGACAGAAGCTGACCTGGCTCTCAGATCATTGCAGGCTCCAAAGGTTGGGAGGGAATTCTGATGAGAATGTGGTACTGATCCACCCTGGGTTTGAGGTAGCAGAAGCTCTGTGGAAAATAACTGAGGATAAGTCTTACTATCAGAATATGAGTGACACAGTTTCAGACCTTGTTGAGTTGGTAGATGGGTGATCAGTAAAATAAAACTGAAAGGAACGAGGGTGAAAGAACGGAAAGGAGAGTGGCTTGAGATACAATTAATTCCTTGTCTCCTATTAATTGATTATCTTTGAAACTGAAACTACTCAGGGGTGGGGGAAGAGAAACAAAAGCAAGGAAAGCTAGCAGCCTCATGGCCTGCACTCAAGATGAAACCAGAGGTGCTGGGACTTAAAAGGACATTGCAGTTACCTTGATGTCACATCTCTGTAACCCCAGACAAGTGGTGTTGGAAAATAGTAACTATCATGCAGCCCTGTCCGATATAATGTAAAGCACAAATAGAAGCCATGTGTGTAATTTTAAAATTTAAATTTATACTTGCTACAGTTTAATAAGTTAAAAGAAACAGGCACAATTACTTTTAGTAAGACATGTTCTTTAACTCAGTATGTCTTAAATATTTTTTAAATATTTACTAAGTAAAAATTAAAGAGATATTTTACATTCTTTATTTCTTACTGAGTCCTTGATGCCAGTGGATATTTTAACGTGCCTTAACTCAGACTCCATATTTCTAGTGCTCAATAGTGCCACATGGGGCTGGTGGCTACCATACTGAAGAAAGCAATCTCTCTATATAAAAGCCTAATCAACCATTATGACCAAACGACCAGAATGACTGGAACAACCAGTTGACCAGTCACTATGATGCACATTGACCACCAGAGGGCAGATGCTCAATGCATGAGCTGCCCCCTGGTGTCAGTGTGCTCTCACAGGGGGAGTGCTGCTCAGCCAGCAGCTGGGCTCACGGCTGGTGAGCGCAGCTGCGGCAGCGGGAGCCTCTCCCACTCTGCAGCAGCACTACTTAGTGGCGGCGCAGTGGGCAGGGATGAGTGTGAGCAGTGTGGCACCAGGCCCCGGCTCAGGCTCCTTCCTGGCCGCCTGCTGCTTGGCGCAGTGCTACATCCCTCGAGGGATGTCCGACTGCTGGTTTAGGTCCGGGGGTTGGGCCTAAATCTGCAGTCGGACACCCCCTGAGGGGTCCCGGATTGCGAAAGGGCGCAGGCCAGGCTGAGGGACCCCCCCTGCCGTGCATGAATCCATGCACCTGGCCTCCAGTTCCAATATAAAGGAGCTGGGTCTCAACGTTTTTCAGGATCATGAGGTTGATTGACCTGGAGGCTGATAATTTTTTTTGCATGCTGCAGCATGAAAAGTAATGTTTGGTGTGAATGCTAGTTCCTAATTTGCTGCAGTGTTGCCACTCAGGAATTATTGGCAGGTGTATAATCAAAGACCCCTTTTTGAGTGAGTGGAGCCTTGAGTGGTGGGAATCTATCGAGGAAGGCTGTTGCCTGGTTCTCTCACTGCTGTGAAATAGAATAGTCCTTTAGGGGAGTAGCAATTCGATAATTTTAAAAAGGAGCCTACCCAAACCTTATCCTTTGGGCTCCTCTCGGGCGGACACTGATTAGGAGAATCCCTTGGGCATCAGTTCCCCCGGTGGCTCTCTTTTTGGGAAGGCAGCAGGGCATCTATAGTTCATGGGCACATTTGCTTTTGCAGCTGCCACGCTAGGTTTTACTGATGGAAGAAAAAAAAATACCTGGGCGATTCAGAAGAAAGGTCATGGCCAGAGGTGAATCTACTAGCTCTCTTTGGGTGGCTTTTAAGACACAGAAGAAAATTGACAGAATTCCTAAGACAGATTTCCTAGCACGTTATTGCCCGCTGGGAGGAAGGAAATCTGT